TTTCAATTATTTTTGGTAATTTATTTCACAATACCAAGCATGTCTGTAACAATACAGACAACAAAGAAGATTCAGGAAATGTTTTTTGACAAATAGATTCCTTACTAGGCATATTAATACAGAACTCTGAGCAATAATTCATTTAAACTACAATACAGAACTGTATTTCCCACACCCCTCAGAAGCAGTGCCAAGGCTTGGGGGAGTCAGGAGACGGATTGCTAGGAAGGAGCCTGGGTGTGAACTTGGAGGGTTGTTGGGTATAGGTGGGAAAAGTATGGAACAGGTTTTTTGGGGGGGACATGAAGGGATTGTTAGGGAGCTTCCACCATGCAGACCCTTGCTGACCTCTAGCCTCTCCCATTCAGTCAGGAACATCTGCCCTTGTCTCTGTGTGTCCCTGCACCCCCCTGTGTCTTTGCACCCCCTGTCCTAGTGTCCCTGCACCCCCACTCAAACACCCCCTCATACCTATGTGGCCCTGCACCCCCTCCCCCTGTCCCCATGTGTCCCTGTGTCCCCACTCAGCCACCCCTGTCCCTAAGTGGCTCTGCACCCCCCTCCCCATCTGGCCTTGCACCCCCCTGTGGCACTGTGCCTCCACTCCCATTCAGCCCCTGCCCCAGTCTGTCCTCCCCCACTAGCCCTTATGAGTCCCTGTCTGTGACCCCCCCACCAGCAGCCCCATGCTGTCTGTCTCCCCATAGCCTCTGTCTCCTGACCTGGCCTGACAGGCGCTGTGAAGAATGCAGGTTTCAGAGGAACAGCCGTGTTAGTCTGTATTCGCAAAAAGAAAAGGAGTACTTGTGGCACCTTAGAGACTAACCAATTTATTTGAGCAAAGGTGCCACAAGTACTCCTTTTCTTTTTGTGAAGAATGCAGGCTCTTTCTCTTCCCGAGCTGGCCAGGAGATCCTGCTCTGTTCTATCATCACAGCACCATCTGGTGGGAAAAAGGCAGAACTGCAGCAACTTTCTGGCAGAAGCTTTTTTCTGTGCAAAAAATTAAAAATATGCACAGCTTATTAATTATGAATGCCCACAGTGGTGCAGAATTCCCCCAGGAGTATCTGATGTATCTCTCTACAAAGGAAGCCCTGTAATCAGTGCATATCTGGTATAAGAGCCTGACCTGCAACCTATCTGTTCAAAAAGTACATGACAATAATATTATAATGGAGCACCATCAGTGTAAACAGAACATGGAGGCAGACACGCTCCTTGCTTCATAGAACAGTTTTAAACTATAATAGGGAATGGACCCTGCAAAAATGCTAACGTGTAGGTGCTGACCTCAATAGAGTTACTCGCAGTCGTAAGCACTATCTCTGCTGCTTAGTAAGTGTTTGCAGAACTGGCTTCATGAACCACATACTTTAGACCCATGAAATACTGGCTGAAGCTCCGGTCTTGAAGCAATGCAGATTTTTTTCAAAGCTAATGATCTGGGGAGTTTTTTGTGCTCAGCTACGTGGCAGCATCTAGTAATGTGTAACTGTATCTCTGCCCTCAAAATGATACAGATGGCTGTCCTAATCAGGACTGGCTGATGATTTCCAAAACACAATGACAATCTGGATGGCTCATTGGACTGGCAATGAGGTATAGAGCTTTTCATCCCTAGAGAATTGGTTTTGGCTAAAATTACTAGTGATTGAGTGTTACTGGGGGAGGCTGTCTGGTGGGATGAAGTGATGATCATCTCATTCCAGTTCCTTGTGGAAAAGAGTCAATCTCACTAAAGCCATCACCACCATTGGAGCCTTCTCTAGGCAATCTCAGCAGAGACCCCCACAGGGCTTCAGGGGCTGGAATCTGAAGACTTTTCTGACACTGGGGATTGAGCTGGCCAGAAAATGGAAATACCGTCCCATAAAAAAATTCATGTTTTTGAAAAAATGTTCATCCTGAATCAGGGCAAATGTCAAAAATGACAACATTTCCAGAAAAAATCCATTTGGGTTCTCTCAGAAAAGAATTTGTTGCCTTTGCAGCTGTTTTCCTGGAGGCTTCTTGTCAATTTCACTTTCTTCCTGCTTGCAGACAGTGAAATTTGCAAGAGCCTTCTTGGCCTGCAATTGGCCTCCATCATTTTGGTTTTTTAAGATGGAAAATCAAAAATTTTCAGGAAAATTGAAAATTTCTGACAAATTGTCAGCTAGCTTTACTTGGGGATTTCATCCAGCGGTGAGTAGCCACTGGTGTAGTCACATCACTGCAAACCTCTAGCGCTGACATGCAAAACCACTCATGATTTGCATCCATGCAGTAGCCCTGAGCGAAACCCGGGTTAACTGCACCAGTGTAAATCCTAGGTTGTAGGGCTTATCTGTCCACACTAGGGGTTTGCTTTGAGAGCTACAACCGAAAAGTGCTATATCAGACCTAGATGTTATTATTACAGCTGCATTGGTGGCTATAAGTAGGACACATTGCTCATGTAGATGGGACGTGAATTGTCCTCCTGCTACCAGAAGTGGTCCCTTCAGGTTAGAGATGAATCATACATATGTGTGATTTCTTGCAGGCTGGGGAGGCTGAAGGCTTTTGGGTCCCCACACAGGGGCTAAGAGCTTCCTGGCTGCTGCAGAGCTAGACCAGGGAAGGGGCAGCTCATAGCATGGCATGCAGGAGAGGGAAGTGGGAGGCAGTGGCAATTGCGGGCACAGTTAGAGGAGGCATCAGCTGCAATGGCCCTGGAGTGTGTGTGCAAATGTGCATGTGCCGTTAAAAGTCTGGTCGGCAGTGTTGTGGGGCTAAGGCAGGCTAGTCCCTACCTGTCCTGGCACTGCGCTCTGCCTTGGAAGCGGCCAGTAGGTCCGGCTCCTAGGCGTGGGGGCCATGGGGCTCGGCATGCTGCCCCTGCCCCGAGCACCAGCTCCACACTCCCATTGGCCAGGAAATGCAGCCAATGGGAGCTGTGGGGGCAGTGCCTGTGGGCAAGAGCAGCCTGCAGAGCTGCCTACTGTACCTCCGTCTAGAAGCCGGACCTGCTGGCCGCTTCTGGGGCACAGCGCGGAGTCAGGACAGGCAAGAAGCCTGCCTTAGCTCCTCCGCTACACCGCAGACCAGGAGCCGCTGGAAGTAACCCCCTGCCTCAGCCCTGAGCCCCCCCAACCCAGAGTCCCCTTCTGCACCCCAACCCCCTCATCCCCAGCCCCACCCCAGAGCCTGCACCCCCAGATGGAGTCCTCACCCCCTGCACCCTAACCCCCTGCCCCAACTCAGAGATCCCTCCCATATCCTGAACCCATCTGCCCCACCCCCAGCCTGGATCCCCCTGCTTCACCCCAAACCCCTCATCCCCAGCCCCACCCCAGGAACCGCACCCCTAGACAGAGCGCTCACCCCCTCCTGCCCCCTAGCCCCCTGCCCCAGCCCGGAGTCCCCTCCCACATCCTAAATCCCTCATTTCTGGTCCCACCCCAGAGCCCGCACCCCCAGTTAGAGCCCTCACCCCCTCCTAGACCCCAACTCCCCCGCCCCAGCACAGGGAAAGTGAGTGAGGGTGCGGGAGAGTGAGCCACTGAGGGAGGGGAAATGTAGTGAATGGGGGGGGCAGGGCCTCAGGGAAGGGGCGGGGCTAGGGTGTTTGGTTTTGTGCAATTAGGAAGTTGGCAACCCTACCAGCTCACCCCCCCACCCCGAGCTGCCTGAACCCAGATTATTCCACACAGAATCCTCTAGGGTGACCAGATGTCTGTTCTAATTTTTAGTTCTTTGTCCCATGTCCCGACCAATGCACGGTCAGGACGCCATTTGTCCCGATAGTGCAGCTTTGGCCGCTCCAACTGCTTTTTTTTATTGCTTCCCCCATGTCTCCCGATATTTTGTCTGTTTCATCTGGTCACCCTCTCACCCCACACCTGGATCCCCCCCACACTGAGCCCTTCCACATTTGGATCCTGCCTGGTTAAGCCTGCCTGCCCCACACCTGGTGCGCCTGGCACAGATGGGCAGGGCCAGGCCTTATGCTGTGTCAGGGTCGGGTGCAGCCTCACCAGTGAGTCCATGTCCCCAGGGTGGGGATGCTGCAGGGTGAGCCCCCACCTTCCTGCAGCCAGTGGCCTGTGCTCCCCACTGCCATGCAGGAGCCTCTCCATTTATTTATTGGCAAATAACACTTGCAGAATTTTAAAGGATTGTGCATAGAATTTTTAAGTTGTTGGTGCAGAATTTTTTTTTTTTGGCCCAGAATGCCCTGCGGAGGAATGTGTGAATTGCATGTGTGCACAGGTGAAGTGTGTGTGTATGACTGAGTGTACCCAGGTGAACAGTAGGTGGGTGAGAGAGCAGAAGTGTGCACAGCAGAAGGAACGGAGTGTGTAAGAACAGGTGTGCGCGCACCCAGAGGCCGGGCATAGCGGGCGCGCGCGCCCATCGCCCCCGTCCCCTGGCTCCGCCCCCGCATGACGCCGGGCGAGTCCTGGGCCTCTTTTCCTGTCGGAGGCGAAGCCCGGCCCGGCCTCCCCTTTAAGGGCCTGACGCCGTTACTAGGGCGGCCGGAGAGGCGCGGAAACTGAACCGGCGCCGCGGCCAGAGCGACAGGCCCGGCAGCTCCCGCCGCACGCCATGGCCGCCGCCTGCCTGGTAGGGGCCGGGGGCAGCGCTTGGGGAGGGTTGTTGGAGCCCTCGGCAGCCGCAGAGCCAGCCTGTCCCGCTGCTCCGCCTTTGCCCCGCTCGCTTCCCCCCCCCCCCCCGGCGGCGGCGGCGGCGGCTTTGCCGGGTGCTTCGGGGCGCGACACGGGGGCCCGGCCTGGGCGGGGCCTGTGAGTTTTGCTCTGTGGCCTGTGCCTGACGCAGCCCCCAGTCGGTTTGGCCGGGGCGCTGCCCCTTGCCTGTCCGAGCGAGGGACCGACCGCTTTCGGGACGGGGAGGGAGGCCTCGCCTCGCCGTCACTGGGTCCGTGGGGATGTCCCCGCTGGCGTTTGAAAAACGACGCTCTTTAGGGGTTGCTTGCTGAAATCATCCCCGCTTGTTGAAGGTGCCTTTTGCAACTAGGTTTACTGCGTTGTAGCCCAGTGGGCTAAAACAAAAAAAAAAAAAATACACTTTGGTAGTTGGCCGCCAATGTCTGGTGTCTCACAAATCTCGTGAAGCGCACAGGTGACGTGAGATGGTGATGTTTTAACCACCCTGCTGCTATTTCTGGTTTACTTCTCTTCTCTCTCTCTCTCTGTGTGTCTCTCCTCCCACTCCCCCGCCCTTCCATGTGCAACTGAATAGCTGCATACTTTGTTTGTGTAATTATATGCATAATTATACAACTAGTTGCACATATACTCTTTTTTTTAATCACCCAGTGCTGGGCTACTATTCTTTTGGAAATCTGGCCTCGAATATTTTGGGGTGGGGAAATTGCTAAACCTTGTCATAAAAATATGTAAATTTTTTTTTTTTTTTTGGTGTGTGGAAAGGTCACTATTAACATTAGCCTACGTTCTTTCAATTTTATTGTCTTTCAGGAGGATCCGTCTCTGGAGAAACACTTTAAAGGCCATCGAGATGCCATCACTAGTGTGGATTTCAGTCTCAATAAGAAGCAATTGGGTAAATTATCTTTTTATGCTTTAAGGGCCTGACGCCGCACCTGACAAGTCTCTTCTTTTTTCAGTGTAATTAAAGGAGCAGCTGAGTTACAAAATAGGCTCAGAAATAGTCACTTGTAGATCACTGAAGAGTTATTTTCAAGGCTGAAAGGCCCACATTTTTGCTTAACTTCTAGAAATGGTATTTTTAAGTGTGTGTGCGCATGCATGTTTATCCTGACAAAGTTGCAAGGAGCATTGAGTGTTACACTGTCTCTTGCATATTTGTGTGCCTCATTTTACTCTGAAACCACCTTTTGGTAAAAACTTCACTTTTACTTGGTGTGACTTAAACCAAGGCTTGTTTTCAATCCACAGTCCATTATTATGATGCATTGGGAGGAGGGATAGCTCAGTGGTTTGAGCATTGGCCTGCTAAACCCCGGGTTGTGAGTTCAGTCCTTGAGGGGGCCATTTAGGGGATCTGGGGCAGAAATTGGGGATTGGTCCTGCTTTGAGCAGGGGCTTGGACTAGATGACCTCCTGAGGTCCCTTCCAACCCTGATATGCTATGATCCAGTTGTCTTTCCTGAGAACCAAATAGAAATTGACTGATGTCAACTGGCCTACTACGTACATTGAAGCCCACTGTGCTTTTTAGTGCAGGAGAGAATTGCTATGTCTGTTGCGGAGGTGGTGAACAAAGAAATGATATGGCAAAGGTGCCCAGTAGACACACACACACAGACAGAGCAGGGCTAAGCACCTTGAAATTCAGTAGTCCAATAGGCTGTCAGAAGGCCTATTTCAGTATCCCTTATCAGGATCCTGGTAACCCACATAGTCCCTAATTTTCAGAGCAAAGGGTTATCAAAGAGCATATTCTCTTAGATTACCAATTCCTCCTACCCTGTTTCCCTTTTGTTTCTCAGTGGCTCCTTTATTCTTGTTTTGTTTCCTGTCTCCCTTCCCTTGCTCTTTCTTCTTTTTAGGTTCAGGCCAGCAGCTGCAGATCAAGAGCAGTGCTACAATCCTACATAGCAAGTGCTGTGAGTACAGCACTTCTATGAATGAAAATGCAGGCAGGAAGACTCAAAATGTTTGAGTGAGGTATATTGAGTCAGCTACTCTATATTCAAGCAGCCTGTACGCTTTCCATTCTTTATATTCGATTCTTCATATTTTTTTAAGCTGAAGAAGTGAGCTTTCATTTGATGCCATTTTACTGGGTTGTTTACCCTACCCAATGCTGTTAATGACTTGCCAATAATAAACTGCAAAATACTGCTTATATCTCAAAGTGCTTTACAGAGATGGCTAAGTGCTATTTTCCCCATTTTATAGATATGGAAATTGTGGTACTGCAGTTACGTAACTTCATCACACATTGAATCAGTAGCATACTTAGGAATAGAATTACTATCTCTATAGAGGCTGAGCCCTGTCCTCAGTCCACATATTTTTAGCTACCTTTTTCATTTTAATCTTAATGTTTGTAGGGAAAGGTATTGCTGGCAAAAAGCCACAGGAATGGAAATGTATGAATTTGTTCCTTTAAAGGAACATGAATAATGGAACATCCTGTCTGAAATGGGTCTGTTAATCCTGAATCTTTTCCAAGAAAGGAGAGAGGCATTCTTTTTTGTATTGAAATGACTGCGAAATAAAAAGATGTTTCCAGCAAAAGCTATTTGGTATTTTGCCACAACTGAAACAAACTAAAATCTCCTTGTGATTATGATACTGTAGCATCTAAATCTAGTATCAAAAACTAATCTGTTTTTTTCTAGGCATGTTTTACGTTCACTGGAGATATGTCCCACTTGGTGCCCTGACAGGGAGATAAAGATGATGCTTTTATCTGTTGGCAGGCTAAGATTTTTATACCACATAGTTGTCTGTTTTTTTGCTTTGAAAACCCCCACCAAAAAATCAACCCCTTCCCCACAAAGTTTCTATACTTTAAATGTAGGATTAATTTGAAGAGGTATTTTAATTGTCACCATTTTAGAGGTTTGCTCTCTAATATTTTTCTCTAAGTTGCCATTGAATCTGTGCAATTATACATCACAGTAAGTGTCCACTGCACTACGGACATATAAAATGTGGCAGGCTGTAGGTGAAACTGGGTAGCTCTACTTTCATCAGGGTCAGTGGCACAGAGAAGGCTGGGAACCTTCATCTGAAGCAGTGCCTCAGAAGGATATGTAGGTAACTGTGTAACCATAGAAAAACCAGTGTCCTGGGGCACAAAGCACTGTCACAAGTGTTTTTTCTTTATGTTGCTGACTTGCTGGACTTGTCTGCTTTTGTATCTGCATTTGGATAATTAACCAAGCAAAGTCGTGACTGCTGTTTGCTCTCCAACAGAAAAAAATCTTTTGATGAAGAGAGACTGAGTCTCAAATCTTAGAGCCTCTGCACATTTGTGTATTGCCTTTTATTGGAATATCTCTTACAATGTTTGTACTTTTTTTGTTTTGTTTTTATATTGTCTACTGCAATAACAGAATTACATGAACTAACTCTCAGCTTGGGTTGCCATGCCTACTTTCAATTAATAAGTGATGATTCTGAATGGTTGGTTTGAATTGCTAATGAAATATAGAATATGTAGTGATTCCCCAGGGTTAACAAAGGTCTTAATTCAATGGAGAGAACCATTGTTTGAAAGGGCTGAAATCTGTGCTGATCCCTTCAGTGTGTGTGATTGTTCCAGTGTACTCAGAGAAGATATTAAATGAGACTTTTTCCCCTTAAATTTAGCAAGTGGCTCTATGGATTCGTGCTTGATGATCTGGAGTATGAGACCGCAAATGAGAGCCTATCGCTTTGTGGGTCACAAAGATGCAGTGATGTGTGTTCAGTTTTCACCTTCTGGCCATCTGGTGGCCTCAGGCTCCAGAGACAAAACTGTCCGTTTATGGGTTCCAAATGTGTAAGTATATCCTGCTTCCTAACTTTTATATTAAGTTGTAGTGTGTGATTTCCACTAGCAGGAGTGTTCCACTGTGAGGTTTGGGAATCTATTATTTGCTAAAGGAAAAAATATTAGGTGATGCAACCGCTATCCTGCATAGGACTCTTCTATAAAGTGAATTTAATCCTGAAGAATATGCCAGCTTGTTAGCCCTAGAGGCTGAAATCCTCTGTCTACAGAACAGGTATAGCATAGACCGTATCAGTGTAAACTTCCTGACACAGCTCTACTACTGTACTTAAATAGTTACCTACTAGTGTCCATCCCAGTTCATGTTCCATGGCTCATTAGTCCTTAGCTTTGCTCTGGCAGTAACACATACAGAGCTCAGTTTTTGTGATGTAGGCATCTGTTCTAGGAGTTGGATTTCTGACTTGCTTGTTGTAGTCCACCAAACAATGGGTGACTTTTCATGACATCTGGTTTTAAATTTTAATTGTTGACCTAAAGGTTAATAACTCCCTGTCCCATTAATAGCATAACGATGGTATATGGCTAAAGCACAGGCCTGGAAGTCGGGAGACCTGAATTTTTGATGCTGTCATGGACTTGCATGGGACCTTGCCCTTTCTGTGCCTCAGTTTTCATCATTTCTAAAATTGTGATGGTGCCCTATCTAACTGGGAGATTGGAAGACTTAGTTTGATGTTTGTAATGTGCTTTGAGATCCTTGTCTGGCAGCTGCAAACCATTATTTTTGCCATTCCCAAACCATCCAGTCTCTCTGTGCTGCTGTTTTAAAATGATTGAAGTATGTTAGTTAGCCGAGAGCAGGCCCATCTACTACGCATTCAACGGAAATACACCATAAGTGGCAAAGGCCTGCGTGCAATATGGACTCGTATCACACTTCTGTCTGCAACTTTACTTTTTCTAGAAGTAACATCTGTTGGACCTCTGTATGGAGCTGAGAGTGTCTCCTTCCTCTTGCCAGACTCTTGCACTAAACTGAGGAAGTGATCTTCCCCATCTCTCTGGGCTGGAATCCTCGTGCTGGTTACCACATGAAGGGGAAGGGTGGCTTTCTGGGAAGTACTACTTTTAAAGACCATAAAGAAATATCAGAGGGGTAGCCGTGTTAGTCTGGATCTGTAAAAGCGGCAAAGGGTTGGTGGGTTTTCACCAAGCATTCTCAAAACTACAATACCCACAGGGTGGAAATAAGGAAACAGAGCCAGACGTGTACCCAGAAGCCGCCTCCTGCAAGACAAGACCAAGAAAGAAACCAACAGAACTCCTATGGCCATCACATAAAGTCCTCAGCTAAAACCTCTCCAACGCATCATCAGTGATCTACAGCCCATCCTGGACAACGATCCCTCACTTTCACAGGCCTTGGGAGGCAGGCCAGTACTTGCCCACAGACAACCCGCCAACCTGAAGCATATTCTCACCAGCAACTACACACTGCACCATAGTAACTCTAACTCAGGAACCAATCCTGCAACAAACCTCAGTACCAACTCTGCCCACATATCTACACCAGCGACACTGTCACAGGACCTAACCAGATCAGCCACACCATCACAGGTTCGTTCACCTGCACGTCCACCAATGTGATATACGCCACCATGTGCCGGCAGTGCCCTTCTGCTATGTACATTGGCCAGACTGGACAGTCCTTACGTAAAAGGATAAATGGACACAAATCAGATATTAGGAATGGCAATATTCAAAAACCTGAAGGAGAACACTTCGACCTCCCTGGACACACAATAGCAGATTTTGCTGCAGGATGGCTACCTTTAAAACACTTCAGGACCAGACTTCAAAGAGAAACTGCTGAGCTTCAGTTCATTTGCAAATTTGACACTATCAGCTCAGGATTAAACAAAGACTGTGAATGGCTAGCCAGCTACAAAAGCAGTTTCTCCTCCCTTGGTGTTCACACCTCAACTGCTAGAAGAGGGCCTCATCCTCCCTGATTGAACTAACCTCGTTATCCCTAGCCTGATTCTTGCTTGCATATTTATACCTGCCTCTGGAAATTTCTACTACTTGCATCTGATGAAGTGGGTATTCACCCCCCGAAAGCTTATGCTCCAATATGTCTGTTAGTCTATAAGGTGCCACAGGACTCTTTGTCGCTTACAAAGAAATAGTGAGTCTGGGCCCTGAGAGGGAAGCAGACTTGCGGTGGGTCTCTCTTACTGGTGTTGGGTTTGTATTCTTTAGCAATTGAAACTAAACACAGCAGCCCAGGAGGCAGGGAAGACATTCTAAAATTAATCATTTCTGTTTTTGTTGGAATGTTTTATGGCTATGAGTAATTGTATGTATTTTTGTTTATTAACACAGTAAGCCTAAATTAGCCTGTGCCCTAGTTCTTGCTACAATCTAGAAGTTAGTCAGATTTAAAAAATCCAGACTCTATTTGCTAGAGAAATAAAAACAAAAAAAGATTAGACTTGCCCCTCCTTCCCTTCTCAAGACCCATTTTTAAAAACTCTTATTCATAAGCTAATAGGCTCTCTTGTAAATTCTTTACATTTTTGTTCTGTACTCAGAGAAAGTAATACATTTAGGGAAGATACACTATTATTCGTAAATAAAAGTTTAATCTGTGATTTTTAGTGCAAATCTCAATTTGTCCTTTAATATGGAGGTGTCGTACCTTCATAATGACAGCATGACTGTACAATTGATCCAATTTCACTGTAAAATGGATCAAAGCTAAGCTACCCTTGCATTGAAGCAGTATGAAAATGTGCAGATTGCAATTTCAGTTATAGTTCACTTCTGTTTAATAGAACTTTCCTGGAAGAAATATAACACACTTGTATATAAAAACGTGTATTATTTAAAGACACTAGATAAATTATACCTGATTAAAATTTAACCTCACCGTTCATCCATCTAGACAGAAAAAAGGGAGTGACAGTTTCTTCTTCTGCGTCCAGAGCCTGGCTGCCAATATATGTAATCCTGAAAATAAATTCAACAAAAAAAGCCTCCTTTATTGGAGTTCTTGGAAGTGAATGTGTAAATTGTGTGAAAAGACTGGATCTTCTGGGAGGGCTGAAGTTGAATGAATTGTGCTAAATGATATCTCAGTGCCTTGAAGATATCCGTTCAGTGATTGAAGCTGTATGTATGGTTGCTATCTCAGAAGTAAGCTAGAATGGAAAGGGAATTATTCTACCTGTGCCTGTCTTGAGGCAGCTCATGTGGTAACTTTTTTGAGTATTGTTCATTTGTGTGTGTATGTTTAGAATTACCAGTCACTGAACTTCTATAACTATACTCAAGGAAAATATCAAGATTGTCAGATGCCTCTTTAGTGTGTTAAATTCACAGCTTGATTAAATGTAGTAAAATAAATGCACTGCAATCTCTTTACTGAGGGCAGAACTTAAAAAAGCAATAAGGGTAGTCTTGAGTAACTTAACAAAACATGAAGGTCAGTAGCATTGCTGTTAGCGTTATACTGTGTGAGAAGGTCTTGACTTCATTAAAAATGAAGGTAGATAGTTCAGAAATTTTCAGTACCAAATTAACATTTGCATGTCTTGCTCTAAAAACATGGATTTTATCCATTTTGAGATTCATTCATTCCTCCCCCTTCCTCTTCAGATCTTCCTTGATCCCACTTATCCTGTCCTCTAATCCAGGGGTTTTGAAAATAAACTAGTAAAAGAATTTAAACTCAATGACAAACTTTTTCTACCCTTATAATGAGAGTTTACAATGATGATTGTGACTGTCTGGAGACCATACCTTTTTATCAAGCAAGCATTAAATATCAGCTTTAATGAGAACCCCACTACTTCTCTCATTCAGCTCTTGGCTTGAACTTTTAGATCATTCAGCTTTGTGGTATTGCTAGCCCACCCTACCCTAGGGAGTGAGTGGTTCAGGGCTGATAGTCTCCCCATCCACCTATTGAATCTTGACATTCTCAGAATTTTGTACTGCAATCTTGTATTTGTTTGCCAGAAAAATACCTTCTGCACTACTTTGAAAATGTTGGCAAGAAGAAGAACTAATGATACTTAATATTAAATTCTGTAGCTTGTTTGTGTTTTTAAATTGATCTCACTTTGTCACACTTCTCGTATTTCTGATTAAAAGTAACTATCGTGTATTTCTTAGAAGATGCTGTATAGGAAAAGTATTTGCTGTAATGTTATTTTGTGCTCAGTATTAGACATTCCATTGCTACCAAATGGAAGTGTATCTGAAGCAGAATATTTGGTGCACGCTAATTTTAAAACATGTCCTTTTTCTTACCTCTGTATAGACAACACAAATGTAAATTGTCTCAAGTTAGGATGGGCTTCAGTAACTAAAATCAAACAGAGCAGTTTCTTTTAGTGCTATATTTTGTATAGTTCCTAAACACTTGTCTGCTCAGGATAGGTCAACAATTTCCTCCTAACATAAATGTATATGGTACCTATAGAAATAGTGGTTAGAAACACTGTTTACTGTACACAAGCTTCAGGCTGTTTAGAACATACTGTTTTAGGCTCTCGTGCAACTTAAAAATAATACACTCCTTTTTCTACCTAGCAAAGGAGAATCTACTGTGTTCAAGGCTCATACGGCAACTGTAAGAAGCGTTCAGTTCTCCAGTGATGGACAATCCTTGGTTACAGCTTCTGATGACAAAACGGTCAAAGTATGGACAGTTCACAGACAGAAATTTCTCTTTTCCTTGAGCCAGCACATAAACTGGGTTCGCTGTGCCAAGTAAGTACGACCCGCTGGCAAAAAGCGGTGGTCATGTATGTCTTAAAACAAAGAGTGCATTCAACATGCGGCTTTGGTGTAACAACATTGCCTTATGCTTCAAATCAGTCCTGAGCTGAAGTAATTTTGAACAGGTATAGACATCCATATATCCTGTTGCCCAACCCCCAGGTAAATGTAACATCTCAGTTTTTTTCTTTAGCAGTTGGATTTGTGATGACTGGGAGAACTGCATGGAGAATTGCCTGCTGGGTGCAAAGGATGCAGACCTCTTGAGATACCTAGATAGACTTGTATGCAGTGGTGGGGAGGAACAAGTGGTACATGACATAGGGGAAAGATAGGAGAGAGGTCCTGGAGGCCGAATTTAGGGCAGTAGGCAAGATATATATATTTTAAAAGTCCTCCATGATAGCATTCTCTGAAATGCTTCCAGTTCTATGTGTAGTGCCAGTTTGATAGTCAAACAGCAGGGTCTCAAGGAGACTATGGTGTCGGGAGGAGGGATTTAGGTTTATTAGAAACCGGAGAACCTTTTGGGAAAGGAGGGAGCCTGTACAGGAAGGACTGGCTCCACCTAAACTAATATGGAACGAGATTGCTGGCATGTAAAATTAAAAAGCTTGTAATGGAGTTTTTAAACTAGGGCTGGGGGAAAGCCAACAGGTATGAAGGTGCACACAGTTCGGACAGACACATCCCTGAGGGGAGGATTTATTAAAGTGGATGCTATATAGTCTAATAAAGAGGAGATGATAGAATTTGATAAAGTAGGTAGGAACTGAAGAGAAAGTCAAAGACATAACTAAATATTGACAAACTTTATAAGTGCTTGTATACAAATACAAGAGGTCTAAATAGCGAGATGGTTAAACTTGAGTGCCTGGTTTTAAATGAGGATATTGATTATTGCCATTGTTCAACCGTAGGACATGGTAAAACCACTGTACAGAAAATATAGGAATGACAAAGTAGGTCTTACTGGTGTGGGAGTGGCAGTATATGTGGGGGAATAAAAGCATAGAGTCAATTATAGTAACTATCTTAAATGAATCAAAGAGTATAAAAGAATTTCTATGGATGGAAATTCTATGCTTGAATAATAATCATAAGGAATAATAATTCCTATAGCAGTAGGAATATACTGCTGACAACCTGACCAAGATGGTAAGGGTGATTGTGAAATGCTCAGGGAGATTAGAGAGGCTACAAAAAACAGAAAACCCAGTAATAATGCGGGATTTTTCATCTATCGTCATGTTGACTGGGTATGTGTTCTCAGGATGGGATGCAGAGGTAAATGTTTCTAGATACCGTTAATGATTACTTCTTGGAGCAGCTAGTCGTGGAACCCACAAAGGGAGAGGCAATTTTTGATTTAGTCCTAAATGGTGTGTAGGATCTGGTTGTAGAGGTGAACATAGCTGAACCACTCAGTAATAGTGATCATAATGTGATTAAATTTAACATACTGGGTGGGGGGAAATGCCAGTAAAACTGACCACAGTAGCATTTAACTCAGTGGTTCTCAAACTTTTGCACTAGTGACCCCTTTCACACAGCAAGCCTCTGAGTGTGACCCCCGCCCCCTTCTAAATTTAAAAACACAATTTTTTAAATATTTAACACAATTATAAATGCTGGAGAATCAAGCAGGGTTTGGCGGTGGTGACTGACAGCTCGCGACCCCCTCCCCCCATTTAAATACCTTATGACTCCCTGTTTGAGAACCCCTGATTTAACTTGAAAAAGGGAATTACAAAAAAAATGAGGAAATTAAAAGGGACAGTCACAAGAGTGAATGCATGCCAACTGCATGGAAATGTTAAAAACACCATAATATAGGCTCAAACTATGTGTACCCTCTTACTGGGTGTGGTTGTGGTGGTTTGTGGTGGGTTTTTTTATTTTTTTTATTTTTTTGAAGACCAAAAAAATGCCACCATGGCTAAACAACCGAGTGAAAGAGGTGGTTCGAGGCAAAAAGGCATTCTTTAAAAATTGGAAGTCAAATCCCACTGAGGAAAATAGAAAGGAGCATAAACTCTGGCAAGTCAAAAAATATAATTAGGCCGGCCAAAAAAGAATTTAAAGAGCAGCTAGCAAAAACACAAAAAGTAACAGCTAAATTTAAGTACATCAGAAGTAGGACAAAGCCCACTGAACAATCAGTGGAGCAACTGGATGATGGAGGTGCTAAAGGAGAATTCTAGGAAGACAAGGCCATGGTGGAGAAGCAAAATGAATTATTTGCATCAGTCTTCACTTCAGAGGATGTGAGAGAGATTGTCACACCGGAGACATTCTTTTTAGGTGTCACGTTGGAGGAACTGTGTCTGACTAAGGTGTCAGTAGAAGAGGTTTTGGAACAACTTGATAAATTAAACAGTAATAAGTCACCAGGAACACATGATATTCACCCAAGAGTGCTGAAGGAGCTCAAATATGATATTGCAGAACTGTTAACTGTGGTATGTAGCTTATCCCTTAAATTGGCCTTGGTACAGTCGACTGGAGGATAGCTAATGTAACACCCATGTTTTAAAAAGGCTCCAGAAGCAATCCTGGCAATTACAGGCTGGTAAACCTAACTTCAGTAGCAGGAAAATTGTTTGAAATTATAGGAAAGAACAGAATCATCAGACACATAGATGAATACAAATTAGTGGGGAAGCGTCGACATGGCTTTTGTAAAGGGAAATCATGCCTCAACAGTCTATTAGAATTCTTTGAGGGAATCAACAACCATGTGGACAAGGATGATCCAGGGGCTATAGTGTACTTGGACTTTCAGAAACCCTTTGACAAGGTCTCTCACCAAAGGCTCTTAAGCAAAGTAAGCAATCATGGGATAAGAGGGAAGGTCCTCTCATGGATCAGTAACTGGTTAAAAGATAGGAAAGAGAGGGTAGGAATAAACAGCCTCTTTTCAGAATGGAGAGAGGTAAATGGCCAGGTCCCCCAAGAATCTGTACTGGGACCAGTGCTGTTCAACACATTCATAAATGATCTGGAGAAAAAGGGGTTAACAGTGAGGTGGCAATGTTTGCAGACTATACAAAATTACTCAAGATAACTAAGTCTAAAGCAGACTGTGAAGAGTTACAGAAGGATCTTAAAAAACTGTGTGATTGGGCAATAAAATAGCAGATAAAATTCACTGTTGATCAATTCAAAGTAATGCACACTGGATAACACAATCTGAACTATACATACAAAATGATGGGTGTGATGGGTTCTGTCATAGAGACCCCCTTAGGACTGTCACCTTCTATGCTGAAACTACCTCTGAGCCCGTTTTCTCTGATGGCTTGGGACTCTAGAACCCTGTCTTGTTGAGCCAGACATGCTAGCCTGCTGCACCACGGACCCAGGGTCTGAACTATGCCCCCAAAGCTGCAGGCTTACCTGAAAACGGCTCAGCAAGTACTCCTGTCTCCAGCACCCAGACATCCAGCTCCCAATAGGATCCAAACCCCAAATAAATCCGTTTTACCCTGTATAAAGCTTATAGAGGGTAAACTCATAAATTGTCCGCCCTCTATAACACTGATAGAGAGAGATGCACAGCTGTTTGCTCCCCCAGGTATTAATCATTTACTCTGAGTTTGTTGTTAAACAAAAGTGATGATTGAGTATAAAAAGTAGGATTCAAGTGGTTTCAAGTAATAACAGGCAGAACAAAGTAAGTTACTGAGCACAATGAACCAAAACACGCAAGTCTAAGCCTAATGCAGTTAAGAAACTGAATACAAGTAAATCTCACCTTCTGATGTTCCAGTAAACTGTTTTCATAGACTAGACTCTTTAGTCTGGGGCTAATCCTTTCCCCTGGTACTGTTCTTGTTAGTTCCAGTTCAGGTGGTAACTAGGGGTTTTCTCGTGACTGGCAGCCCCCTTTGTTCTGTTCCACCCCCTTTTATATCTTTGGCACAAGGTGGGAATCTTTTGTATCCCTGGGTTCCCACCCCTCCTTCTAAATGGAAAAGCACCAGGTTTCAGATGGATTCCAGTACCAGGTGACATGGTCACATGTCACTGTAAGACCTCCTTCTTCATTACCTAGTAGCTGGGAGACACTTATACAGGAAGGGTTGCAGGTAAACAAACCCATTCACAGTTCATTGATTCTGAAGCACCCTTAATGGCTTCCACTTAACATGTTTATATCAGTAATACAAGTTTATATCTTAGGTCTTGGCTATACTTGCAAGTTAGAGCACATTAAATCAGCCCCGGGCACCCTAACTCCTGAGGTGTTCACACTGGCAAGGCACTTAGAGCGCCTGGACTCTGCGGCTGGAGTGCTTCTGGTAATCCACCTCCACAAGAAGCATAGACCTTGCTGAAACGCTCGGGTGTCCGTGTGGATGATGTGTTGCAATACTGCGCTGTGATTGGCCTCCCAAAACATCCCATAATCCCCTGAAGTCAAGTGGCCACTCTTGGCATTGTTTTGGACTCGGCTGCAGGCATGGGGATATCCCCTTTCAAAGCTCCACTTCTGACAGCTGCCATGCTTATCCGCTCTGGAACAAAGCAAACCATTACTGTGGAATGTGGTGTGCGTGTGTGTGTGAGGGCGGGGGGGGGGGGGGTTGAGACCAGGGTTTCCCCCTGCTGCCGTCTGAACTTACAAGACAACATGCTGACATGCTCTCTGCCCCCCAAAACACACACACTCTCCCCTCACATACACATAACATACTCTCTGTCACACTCAACCCTCCCCCGCCCCCATTTGAAAAGCAAACTGTAGCCACTTGCATGCTGGGAGAGCAACCACAATGCACTGCTCTCTCTGGCTTTGCAAGAGGAGCTAATGTGGCCACGCCGCTGTGCTTATTGCTGACAGTGTAAACGCATGGCAGCGCTTTCCCTGCTGCTGTCTCTGAGGGCTGGTTTGACTCCCAGCGCTTTACATGTGCAAATGTAGCCATGGCCTTATTCTCCTAACTCCAGACATAGAAATAATACATGGAAACAAATAGGATGAAACAGTAGATCATAAGGTTTGTAATGATCCTTACAAGAGACCTTTTGCAAAAAACATATTCCAGTTACATTATGTTCACACTCATAAGCATATTTCCATAAATATATGGAGTGTAACGTCACAACGGATAAGAACATAAGAATGGCCGTACTGAGTCAGACCAAAGGTCCATCCAGCTCAGTATCCTGTCTACCAACAGTGGCCAATGCCAGGTGCCCCAGAGGGAATGAACCCCATGATCTGGAGGATGGTGTGGATTGCACTCTCAGCAAATTTGCGGATGATACTAAACTGGGAGGAGTGGTAGATACGCTGGAGGGGAGGGATAGGATACAGAAGGACCTAGACAAATTGGAGGATTGGGCCAAAAGAAATCTGATGAGGTTCAATAAGGATAAGTGCAGGGTCCTGCACTTAGGACGGAAGAACCCAATGCACAGCTACAGACTAGGGACCGAATGGCTAGGCAGCAGTTCTGCGGAAAAGGACCTAGGGGTGACAGTGGACGAGAAGCTGGATATGAGTCAGCAGTGTGCCCTTGTTGCCAAGAAGGCCAATGGCATTTTGGGATGTATAAGTAGGGGCATAGCGAGCAGATCGAGGGACGTGATCGTTCCCCTCTATTCGACATTGGTGAGGCCTCATCTGGAGTACTGTGTCCGGTTTTGGGCCCCACACTTCAAGAAGGATGTGGATAAATTGGAGAGAGTCCAGCGAAGGGCAACAAAAATGATTAGGGGTCTGGAACACATGAGTTATGAGGAGAGGCTGAGGGAGCTGGGATTGTTTAGCCTGCAGAAGAGAAGAATGAGGGGGGATTTGATAGCTGCTTTCAACTACCTGAAAGGGGGTTCCAAAGAGGATGGCTCTAGACTGTTCTCAATGGTAGCAGATGACAGAACGAGGAGTAATGGTCTCAAGTTGCAGTGGGGGAGGTTTAGATTGGATATTAGGAAAAACTTTTTCACTAAGAGGGTGGTGAAACACTGGAATGCGTTACCTAGGGAGGTGGTAGAATCTCCTTCCTTAGAGGTTTTTAAGGTCAGGCTTGACAAAGCCCTGGCTGGGATGATTTAACGGGGAATTGGTCCTGCTTCGAGCAGGGGGTTGGACTAGATGACCTTCTGGGGTCCCTTCCAACCCTGATATTCTATGATTCTAAGTAATGATCAAGTGATATCTCTCCTGCCATCCTTCTCTACCCTCTGACAAACAGAGGCTAGGGACACCATTCCTTACTGGCTAATAGCCATTAATGGACTTAATGGATTCTACACAGGGTGTTGTCACTCAAGAAATATCTTGGAGTCATTGTGGATAGTTCTCTGAAAACATCTCAATGTGCAGTGACAGTCAAAAAGGCTAACAATATCAGAGACCATTAAGAAAGGAATAGATAACAAGACAGAAAATATCATAATGTTCCTATATAAATCCATGCTACTCCCACACCTAGTGTGCAGTTCTGCTTTTCCCATCTCAAAAAAAATATATTAGAATTGGAAACGGTACAGAAAAGGGCAACAAAAATGATTATGGGTATGGAATAGTTTTCGTATGAGGAGAGATTAAAAAGAGTGGGACTTTTCAGCTTGGGAAAAGAGATGACCTCAGAGAGGATATGATAAAGGTCTATAAAATTGTGACTGGTGTAGAGAAAGTGATTAAGGAAGTGTTATTTACTCCTTCACATTATGGAAGAACCAGGGGTCAATGAAATGTTTAGGCAGCAAGTTGAAAACAAACAAAAGGAAGTACTTCTTCATACAGTTGTAAGGTCAACCTGTGGAATTTGTCAGAGGAAGTTGTGAAGGCCAAAAGTATAACTGGATTCAAAAAAGAATTCGGTCTCCATCCAGGGATCGCTCAAGAAATTGCCCTGTTCTGTTCATTCCCTCTGAAGCATCTGGCACTGGTTGCTGTTGGAAGACAGGCTGTTGGGCTAGATGGACCATTGGTCTGACCCAGTATGGCCATTCTTATGGTCTTTTCTGTCCATAAGAGAAGCCAGCTGTTTAGTTATTTCAACCCTGTTTCACTTCTTCTTACCCTGTCTAGTATGGCGATTCCTTTCGACAGCAGAAAGCAGTATTAAAACGCTTATCTAAATATATCTGATCACCTTTTAGGCTGATCAGGCCTCTGATTAGAAATTATCATCTGCACTCCTGTCCCTGCCTCGTTAGGAGAAATCTTTTTTTTTTTTAAAGGGAAAGTGTACTTTAAGAATGAAGATGGTCTTGGAGAAGAACTATATATAAAACTTTGGCATTTTCATGTGCTAAACTTGCTGTTATTTTAGGTATTCAATATGGAAGCTTGTAATGGGCTGATAAACAATTATCACTTGTGGTCTTAGTCAGAAAAGCACATATGACTACAAATAATAGCAAAAGTACTGTAGAAAATGAAAGAATCAGCTTAAATGGGAAAGAATGTTGCTTTTAAAAAGCAGCTGTCATTTAGTTCTAACTGATTTTGATGCAGTATATATTAAATGAAGAACCCCTAAAATGTCCATAAAGTAAGGCTGCTGTTTCATCTGGGAGTTATAGTGACATTAATCTCTAATATTGCTGTCGTACTCTGGTGTTGGGGTGTGTGTGAGAATATACATGATGCGATATCGAAATAGTGTTATCCCCATTATGTTATACACATGACTGTAATTCTTTCATTGCAACCTAAAGCCTTAATCCTGTAAATATTTATGCATGTGAGGTGTGTTGATCTCAGTGGTGTGACTTGCATGCGTGAAGTTGTTGGAGAGGGCAGCTTAAGGTTGCACTAGTCTGGCACTGTCAAACAGCGTTTCTAATGCTACAGTTACTGTTGCCTATTTTGAACTTCTACTAATAGTCTTAACCAGAAATATAAGAATTTTGAGGACAAATAAATTACCTTTCCTACTGGTAGTGAATCTAGAAATTGTCTGAAGCAGGGCCTAGAAATGAAGCATTTGAAACAGGTTTAAATGAAAACAAGTGGGATAGATGATCTGAAATCAGTTTAACCATTTTTTCTGAATAGTCTCTTAATCTATCTTCATGTTGTTCAATCATTTCAGTCCTTTTAGGTTGCTTTTCTCATAGAAATTAGCTTTGCAGATTTAGCTCTGCATTCTGCTACCCTTGCTCCTCAAGTAGTCATACTGACATCAGTGGGACTACTCAAAGAGTATATACTTGTCTACATGAACATTTAATTTGCTGCAAGCTGGGGTGTAAACTATCACATGCTAAGTATCTGTGGACCCTGCTGCTACACACTAACCATTCCCTAGTGCACTTTGATCTACCCTGCTTTGAAATGCGAGTAGATCAAAGTGCACTAGAGAACAGCAGGATCCACAATACAAGGCAGCAGGGTACACAATGACATTTAGTGCATGGCAGGCTAGTGCGGTGTAGATTTACATCCCAGCATGCTGTGAACTAAATATTGGTGTAGAGAAACCCTAAGATGCATCCTGCCATGAGTAAGGTATCCAGATCTAGCCCATACTGTCTATCCCCTCCAGCTCCTTATTAGTTCTGAACTTTGTTATAACTCCTATCTTTGTTTTAGATTTTCTCCTGATGGAAGACTAATAGCTTCTGCCAGCGATGATAAAACTATCAAACTATGGGATAAAACCAGCAGAGAATGTATACATTCTTTTTGTGAGCACGGTGGGTGAGTACCAGTAGAATGCGCAGGGGCAAGACACACAAGGCTGTTTTACCTGAGCCTTCCACACTGCTTTTACTGTTTGGAAGAGATTAAATCGTAACTGACTGACTGCACAGTCACATAGATCCTAGCTACACGGAAATGACCTTTAGTCACCAACAATTCCTTCCAGATATCCTATAGCTGGGCTTGAAAGTAACATGGATGTCAGTGTAAATGGAGCTAAATATATTTTAACGTCCATCTAGTGGCCTAGGTGTGAGAACAGTTCTAGAAATCATTTTAGCCACATTTATGCTGGGGACAAAACCGCATTAAATGAAACTTTTCATGTCTCTTCTCTTCAACACACAATGTTGATCTCTAGTTCTAGGGAACTTAAGGAGGTTTAGATCTCACTTCCCTTCACTAGGTTTGCCAAAACTTTATTGTGCTCTAAATTAATGAAGTTCAAGAATTAAAAGGTGTTTGTAATAATGCTTTGCACTTGTGCTGTACCTTTCATTCTAGCTCTCTAAACCATTCATAAAATTAGTCAAACCTCCTACATGTCTGTGAGGTAGGGAAGTGTTATACCTATTTTACAGCTAAAACTGAACCACCGCAAAATTAAGGGACTTCTCCAAGGTTACAGAACAAGTCAATGATAGAACTGAGACTAGAACCCGTGATTTCTAGTTTTCCATTCCATAGCATCATTTGACACACACCTCCTCAATAGACCAGTAACTGCATACTGCCTTTTTTGTTTTCCCTGTCATACAATTCTCTTGTTTCAAGATAACGTCTGAATTTGTCATTAAGGTTGTATTTAATGTCATGACCTTTGATTCTGATCTCATTAATGTCATGGTACAATATTATTATTTTTCATAAGCCTTTTTAGTACACACGGTTCCTCCACGCAACAGATTTGAGAATTTGATGAAAAGCACTATATAAGCGCCTGGTGGTATTCTTAATATGGTGCAATGTAAGTATGCTAATAGGGCAGTCAGTTTTCTTGTATCTGATGTCTTGCTTGTATCAATAGAGCAAGAGTTACAAAGCACCTTACAAAGGATCTATTTTATACTTCCTTTAAAATAACAATGTGTTCAGAGGATATCGCTGCATGTTGTATCTCATAAGCACCAATTAAAGAACTCCTATGATCTTAGTAAAAAATAATTACTTCTATTAAATATTAACTTTTGAAAATTAATGTTAAGACATTTAAATCTACAAAATTCCAGAAGATTTGCTTCTGGAACTCATGTAATTGTCCTCAAATTCTTTTTAATACAAATATATAAAATATAGTGCTATATCATATCCTGCCTTAGGGGTGTGAGAGAAGCACAAGATAAATGTTAGTTGACTTGAGCTGTGTTTAGCATCTTTAAGTCAGAGTTCCTCCTGTCCCCATATTATTACACTAACCTACTGTAGTACTCCTTCTTGGAAGGGATCCCTTCAAGTTTAAACTGTTGGGTTTTTCTTTATAGGTTTGTGAATCATGTGGATTTTCATCCCAGTGGTACGTGCATTGCTGCAGCTGGTACAGATAACACAGTGAAGGTGTGGGATGTTAGGATGAACAGACTCCTCCAGCATTATCAAGGTAAGTTACAGACCTAGGAGAGTTTTTTGTTGTTTGTTTTTTTCCACTGTGGTATTTAACCTAATAACTGGATCCCCAGGAGGGTAGGCCAAGGGGGAAAAAAATTGCTTGCAATGCATTCTTGCTCACTTTACAAGTTGAAAATAAATCTTGCCAGATCTAAATTAAACTGTTGGCACCTCTAGGCTTTATATAGCCTGTGCTATGTCCCTACCCAACAATGTTTTCAGCTTTGTGTATCTGTTTACTTAAGTCAGACTGGGAGAACTAATCATTTTTTAGCCTCCCTATATTATTAATAAATAGTGAGTGTACATATGGCTGATAGGTGTGGAAAGCGGTAGCAATGCCAAAAGAGCAGAGCTGTCCTATCACTTCTCCTCAGTAGCCAGCTCCTCCTTCACATCTACCTCCAAAAGCATATGCTTAAACTCTTGTTACAGATAAGTGTTTTGAGAGGAACGCATTCAATAGTAAATCGGGACGTGTGCGAAGAGGCCACTGAGGCTATCAAAGTCCTTTGGTACCATAAGGAAGCAAGTGAACAGCAGCACTGTAAAAAAAAGGGAACTTACCTTCCCTCCTTTCTCTCTGAGGGTTTCTGAAATTCAAAGCTACATGATCTCCTGGTACTCTAAGTGTGATGAGATAGTCCCTAGGGTTAGCCTTCAGAGATTGCTGCACTCATTTGTCAAATGACCATGTCCCTGCTTAACCACATTTTAGTAAATAATCCTTCTTAGAGGCAGTGTTTTAATGAACCAGTCTGCAAACTTCAGAACTGTAAACATGCATATATAGAGCTGTTTTTACTGTTTATAGATTTTTAAGGTCTGTGATCATCTAGTGTGACTCCCTGTATAACACAGGCCATAGGACACAGGACTTCCCTGAATTAATTCCAGTTTGCACTAGAGCATATTTTGACATTCTTCTCTGGTGTTGTCTGGACTGGTGATCTGCTAGGTCACTCAAATCCTTGACTCTGGGAGCCAGCCTTACACTGCTCTGCTGTGAGAACCCCCACTCCTGGGCTGTTCACGCACAGCCTCTGGCATGTAAGCTGCTCCTTGGATTGTGCAACCAAATGATACTAGCCAATACCTCCGGGCCCAAACACAACCCTAGGAACCGCCGTCTTGCAGTGTCTAGTTATGCCTGCTAGACGCTGAAAGCTTATATGAGTTTGTCAATTTAACAAAGAAATTGATATGTACCAGGCTTGTTATCCCAAGGGGAATCTCTGACACGCTTCAAACCAAATGCACTGCTTCAGGTAGAATAAACAGATGTATTAACTATAAAGATAGATTTTAAGTGATTATAAGTCAAAGCATAACAAGTCAGATTTGGTCAAATGAAATAAAAGCAAAACGCATTCTAAGCTGATCTTAACGCATTCTAAGCTGATCTTATAAGTGTCCTTACAAACTTAGATGCTTCTTACCACAGGCTGGCTGGTTGCTCTTCAGCCAGGCTCTCCCCTTTGATCAGCGCTTCAGTCTGTTGGTGTGGTGCCTGTAGATGTAGGTGGGAGAGAGAGAGAGTGCATGGCAAATGTCTCTCCCTTTTATCATGTCCTTTCTTCCCTCTTGGCTTTGCGCCCCCACCCCTCTTTCAGAGTCAGGTGAGCATTACCTCATTGCATTTCCAAACTGACCAAAGGAAGGGAGCTGACTCACTCCAGAGTCTGACACATTCTTTTGTTGTTGCCTAGGCCAGTGTCCTTTGTTCCTGTGAGGCTGGGCTGGGTTTGTCCCATACATGCCCTGATGAGGTGTGAACTGCCTCTCTGTTCTTGGAGGGTTTTTGCCTGGGCTTGCTTTAAGCCATGACGATACATTTTCAGCCTCATAACTATATACATGAAATTATAACCTTACTATAACATCACTATAACAACAATGTTCAGTGTATCATGAACCCTTCCGAAGACACCCAACATGACCAACTTTGCATTGGATACCACACAATCATTTTATAAAGATGAACATGGGGGTGTAATGTGTTCCCCCGAGGTACAGAGCGTCACACATATCTCTTAGGAAAACATCCAATCTTGATTTTTAAAATGTCTAGTGATGGAGAATCCACCACAACTTTTGGTAAGTTGTGCCTATGATTAATTACCCTCACTGTTAAAATATTGCACCTTATTTCTAATCTGAATTTGTCTAGCTTCAACTTCCAGCCATTTGATCACGTTATACCTTTGCTTGTTAGATTGAAGAGCCCTCTATTATTAAATTTCTGTTCCCCATGTTGATACTTATTAACTGTGATAAAGTCCCCTCTAACTTTTTCTTTAAGCTAAGCAGATAGATCTCCTTGAGTCTTTCACTATAAAGCATATTTTCCAATCCTTAATTGTTCTTGGGCTCTTCTGTGAGCCCTTTTCAATGTATCAACATTTATGTTGATAAACCTATGTTAAGAAAAACAAAGACCTTCCAGAAGAGGCTCAGTGCAGAATGCTTGTGGATGGTGGATGCATGTCACCATATTATTGGTTACACTATAGTTGTAACCAAGAATTTCAATACAAACCAAATATTAGTGTCTGAGGTAAAGGGGGTATATTCTTTCTGATGGCCAAAACTCCACTAGCAAAGTTGTCTGTGTATTGAGAGAAGTGCTTACTCCAAACTGTGTGTATTAGTGAAACTTAGAAATGGGTATAAAACCTCTGCTGTTAAAACAGGCAGAACTTTTTAAATCCTTAAACTAGGGTAAAGGGCAATCTGAAACTGCTTATCAGCTTTTATGCAGTGGCAGGATAAACAGCATGTGTTTCCAGCCACACCATTATTTGGCTCTACAGTGATCTCTTCCTGCTTATGATTTAGAGAGATTAAATTGTCTGGGTCTAGTGTGGCTTAGTTGCTATTTGACTGCCAGGTTTATTTTTGTCTCTGGATTTTTAACTGTATCTTTTTCCTGCGTGGCATTTTATTGTTACACTTTTGTTATTGAAATCTTGTAAAACCAGCTATTGCATAAATCCTAATTAGGCACCAAACTTTCAGTTTGAAATAATAAATTAAAATTAATAACTTGCAATGGTTATGAGCACAGTGAATTCATGCCAGTTGCTTTGCAGATACAAATGGGTATCTCTCTCTTTCCTGCATGAGGATTTATATACCTAACTCATTTGATTTAGATAGAAGTTATGGATATCGCACATGTGAAAATGAAATTATATTTTTAGAAGAACAGATAACCATGAAATCACTCAATTCCACTAGAGGGCATCTTTTCCTTCAATATATAATCATGTTAAAAAACTGACACGTTTCTGTATGATTTTAAGGGAATCCATTGTAAGAGTCAAATTGGATTGATTAAAGAATTGTAATTGATCTTTTGTTGTTGTCGTTGCCATGACTTTGTTCCAACTGCAACATTTGTAAATGATAGTCAAAGGTTTTACAATTTGCTTTCTGCTTTTGTATAGTGTCAATAAACTAACTTATAAATAATCTGGACATACTTAATGAGCAGACAAATGAACTGTTTATCCACTACACTGATAGGAGTACTCCTGTACAGCAGATCAACTAAAAAGAGTCTGTATAGCCATGTTATTGGTGTGAAATTCACTAATATGTTAAGACCTGTTGTCATGGGCAAATCTGATACCATATTGCAAAATAAGGAAAACTAGCATCCCAGTGATATGACTTAACCTTCAACTACTCATTATCTAGGAGGAGTAAATAGTGGACTCTTCAGAATGACTGTCTGAATTTACTCAGACATAAAATTTTATTAGTGTCAAGCCATTTTGTGTATTAGGCATGATGCACTACTCTTACAGGTAGCAGGATAAAGTTATAGTGACATCTCTTACCAGTCTAGTTACAGCAAGTGCATAAATAATTAGAGGTAGCCTAATGAAAGACATTTTCCATGTCCGCCATCTGAAGTGTTTTTGGGGGTTCTGGCTAGTAACAGAATAATTTAGGGGACTAGATTATTCTATACGAGCCACTTGGAGGCAGGGACTGACTTTTTGTTCTGTGTTTATTTGCATCTAGCACAATGGAGTCTGGTCCGTGGCTGGGGCTCCTAGGTGGTACCGCAATACAAATTAATAATAAATGTTGATAGTAATTTATTCCATTTATACTTATTACATTTGGAATAAATTACTATATCATATATTGTACATTTAGGTCACAAAAACAAGTGCAATGCAGATTTCATGGAGTTGAGTACCCTGGGCAATCATCCTGATCACATTGTGCATTGCCAAAATATTTGTTTTCCATGTTTGTTTTTTGTTAAAATTTTTGGTATGGGGGTGGAGAAGGGGAGGCATCATTTGCAGCAAGGGAGAACAGAGGTTGTATTACTAACAGTAGCTTAGAATCCTTTGGATTTCCTTCAGTTTTACCCATTAGTTCTCTTTTTTTTTTAACCTACAGCCCAGAGTCATTGATCTGTGAGTAAGCCATCAGATCAGAGGTGATCCCAGATTACAGTATTTTAGGAGTCAACTCTGCTGGCTCTGCAGTGCCCAAAGTTTGTCAGTTCACATTGTGCTTACATTAGTCTACTGGAACAGCCCTACACATTTTTTTTTTTTTTGTAACATGATGAATATTTTTTTTTATTAGAACTGTTGATAAAGAACAAAAAAAGATGAAAAATACAGAACAATAGATGTACAATGGAAACCACCTTTATTGAGGTTGTGTTATGGCCATCTTAATTTATATTCTAGTCAATGGCAGCGAAAATAGCATTAACTAATCTCTGGTACTCAATGGGCTGACCATTGTCACAGTTCATGATTTACATTTTGGTCACAATACTTAAGTTCACCCTATAGACTGCAGTGACTCAATTTTAGTGGATAAATCTGCAAAAAGAGATGTGCGTATGACCTTAGTACTAGGCTAATCATAACTGGCTGTTAATATTGGCCATATGCAGTGTAGTTGTAACCATGTTGGTCCCAGGATATTGGAGAGACACTGTTTCTCTCTAATATT